CGAAAGGAAAATCAAGCGAAAACGAGTTCCAATGAGTTATCTCTTCCTCGCAATGTCATTACCACTCTGACTCACAGCTCGTACTCACACTAAAGAGAAGAGTACGCTTCCTGAGGTCGTACCACTCGCGTTTTTTTCGGAAAGAGCCCCAGTGGCGGACAATTTCGGTCGGAATTATGTAAAATGGTCCTTCGATCGTCGAAACTGCAATCAATAGATCACGTTGCATTCCGCTTTTGATAGAAAGATTATAGTTGAACGTTACCAGAGGCTGCGTCTTACGACGGGCATACATCACCGGGTTCGATAAACGGTAATAACGGCTCCAGAGGGCCGTGCAAATTGGGTTATGGCTGGAGGTGTCGCGACGTTCGTGGTAAGCTTAATTGGACATTGTGTAGCAATTAGATTCTTATTTGAATAATCCGCTAGTATCGCAATGAAATTTATCGAAAAACAATCTGCATTTGAATAGAATGCCCGGGTCCAAACCTACGATTAAGTTAATAAATAAAAGTTCATTGCCTTGAGACAAACGTGAAATATTAGAGGCACGGAGGACTTCGGTGGGTCGGGAAATTTTTAAAAAGTCGGGTCGTACCGAAGGATGTTTATTGAGATCGTTCGGTACTTGAAAAATGACTAATAACTTGGGAAAGTCGCAGAGTCGGATAACTGTTTGATGTAGTTACTGATTCGTCCAAAGATGGTACCTGTGTGAGAAACGTACTTACTTACATTCGAGATCTGATGATTATGTATGAAATCAGTACGTATATCTAGCTGCAGCTTGCCATTTTCTTCTTTTCCAATCAAGATTCTGCGGCGAACCCATCCATCATGGTGCATTAGACCAATTAATAATAATTATTGCTGTAACCTCTTGCCGACGGCCTCTCCACCCTTCCGTCCTTAAAAATCCCGAGAATCATTGTGCCATTATCGTATGATTTAAACACGCTATAAAGCCCAATTGATGGAGTGAATAATGAGTTATTTATTTGCATGGTGGTACAGTCATATCGCATGGCCGCATTGTTACCAACATAACAAGTCGTACCCTTGACCCGTATAACCCGTCTGGGCACCTGAGCAACGGTAAGCCAAGCAAGGTGGATGACAATGTGGACGATCTGTATGGGATCGAGAGAGACGAAAGCTCCGTTTTCCATACGTCAGGAAAAACGTTTCAATTAACTTTACAGTTAGTCCAATTTGCATAAACGTTAATTGATCAATAAGTTTCATCGGAAATATTCGGATTATGTCTAAATACGGGCAAAACTAGCCGACGCGATTAGCATAAATTTTTGCTCGATGTGCACACAACACGCCAATTAAAAATCCTTAAAATCCACGGAAATAGATATGGGCGTGTTGGTACTGTTAGTACCGCTGAATCTGATAGTGCAGCGGCGGAATTCCCCGGCAAAGTGCATCATCGAATAGTTGACACCTTAAAAAGGTACTACGGTGACCACACAATAAATTGCATGGGGATATACGTCGTCGGTACTGTTCGTACCTGAAATCACCTTCTAGAAATGAATGTGATAAGAATGCAACCGCTAAAATCTCAATCAAGTGACTCAACGGATTGAAATTATGTGGTGGTACTTTGGTACCCTGAACCCTTGCTGTCGTTGCGTCAGAAAGGTCGCCCCGGGGTTGTCCCTATCGTCGCAGCTTTCTCTTGTTTGTCGAAAGAGCACAATGCATAATCGAATTAAATGAAAAAATTATCACAGTCTGGAATCTCTTGTTTGTCTCTGACGAATCTAGAACGACTTTCGAATTTTATCGATGGCCTAATTCGAAGACAAAAATCTGTTGATAGTTTGGAAATGCAGAAACTACAACTAATACATCAGTAGGCGATTTGTGTCACTGATTTCATAAATCCTTATCTGCATGAAGTGCAATTTGTTATTTCGTCTAGCTCCTTTATCCAATTTTTGAAATGCGAAGGTTAGCAAGTCGGGAACAATGAATCTCCTGCTTGTAATATGTCAAGTATAGATCCGTACGAAGATGATAATCTGAACCTGCAAGATAAGGATGAAGGTTGAAACGTGCTAACGCTGTAGTGTTTTAAGTGATTTTATCTAAATGTAGCCGACCGCTCAGGAAGTTACAAGTTACGACAACCCGAAACATATTCGAAATTATCTCGTCAAATTCCCGAACTAGTTCTGAATCCGGAACAGGTCACTACCGGCAAAACTGGAAGAAGTTATGATTCACGAGTCAAATTCGCCACATTCCTCGGCAACAATGAACCAATGAGAAATGTCAACAAACACTAAATTTTACGGATGTGCTAAAAACCCGGCTCTCGAAAAGCGCGCGCTGGAAATTTGAACCGTGAATAATCAACATGACAAAACGGTCTTTTTATTTCTGATAGCTGAGCTTTCACCTGTCGCCTTCTTATGCTAATCCCCAAAAACAAACAAAAAGCAGGCACGAATTAAGAAAACCGCGCCGAAAAAGGAAGAGAATTTTTATTACCTTTCCGCATGTTCGGAATATTTCCCAACTCGTCGCATGAAATAAATAACGAAATGACCCTCCGCAACACTCACTCACGACACATAATTAATATCGGGAGCGATTGTTGCGATACATTTTCAATTGACAATAATGTATCCCATTATACAAATTACATCGCCGGTATGACTTGCTGCTGATAGCAATAAGGCAACTTTATTATTAATAGACTCAGCATTTAGGTTTTTTCCCTCCAGACGCTTCAGTTCCATTCAAAGTTGCGGAATAACGGACTCCACGATTCATTTTCGGTAACGGATTCGAATTCCGCTTTCGAAAAAATATTGCTAGGAATGTTGGATGGATTGACAAATCGAGTGAAGGGTCAGATCGTGGGCTACGGAGGCCTGGCGAATTATAATAAGACAAGATTTAGTCATTAGCGATGGCGAAAAATTCACTAAACAAATAGGTTTTGTTATCGCGGACATTGTCTGGGACGTGATTAATCGTCGACAGGACGGAGGTCCGAATTTTGCGCGTTTGGGAGAAAGTCGCGGCGCCATGGTCACGTAAATTACTCTTTCCATTGGGCAATTTTCCCAGTTACGCAAAAATCGAGAGTGGAGGTCCTGCGAGTTACCTCGAGGGACACCATAACTCATTCTATGTCCGACACGGGGCTCCGAAAGTATTCTGGTAAGAATTTTGTGGCCTAATATGTAACCGCTAGTGCCCAGGATCATCTTTCTGAAACTAAAGCCAGTAGTGTTTCCCTTAAATAATTTTTTACACTTTTCGCTACTCACTATTCTGATATATCGTGTAGTGTCTTTTTGTTCGTTAAAGTCGACTCGGTCTTGGAGTAGCAATGTTTTCCTGGTGCTTAATTAACATGTTCCGGGCTGCCGAAAAGCTCTCGGGAGCTTTGGAAGCTCGGCCGTTTGGTTTTTGGCGGTTCGTTTTGTTTTTTTGTGGATCGGAGGGTCTTTGGTGGGGCTGGTGGTCGTCCCAGTCCGCCCCTGCGCACGCATTCCCCGTTGGATGTTTATGAGTCTCGTCCGTTCGGCCGAGCAGTTTTTCAGTACGATTTTGAAATATTTGCAGTGCTGGTTGACGTCGTTTAGCGGCTGAAATGAGCTGAGTCGGAATGTACGCCGATGAATGTTGTCGGTATCTTTTGCCGTTCTGTTTTTGGATTAATTCGCGGAGAATACTAATGAGGGACCCGAGTATTAACTAAATGTATACTTGTTTTCGTCACTTCGGTGCTTGTCCGCTCTGTTCTCGGAAAGTCGATTTTTTGAGGCGCATTCGTGACGAGACGCAGACACTATGGAATGATGGACGGCTTCTGTGGGATCCAATTTGGACGAATGGGCAATTAGAAGAATGCCCCCGTCCGTCCGTCGGCCCTCCGCCTCTGGTGCAATTTCAGGGGCGTTCAGACGGGGCCTAATGTATGCGCTCCGAACTATCGATATCATGAATAAAACATCGGCCCGAGAGCCTTGATTGTGTAATTCTTGAGGAGCGAACGATGATTTAAGCGATGGCTAACATAATTTTTGTGTTGGGTTACATGTTTACGACCGACCCGACGAAAAATAACCAATATAATTACCGGTAAAACTAACCGACGCATGATTCATAGAATATGTTAATCACGCATTAAGGCGCGAGCTTTGGATTTTCTCGAAAAAAAAAACATTTCTAGTAGGAGTCCGGCATGGGCTACGACACGGTGATGTCTGTGTTATGCCGCGGCTTATGATTTATCAAACTGCTCCACGATATATTAACACCATTACGTACGCAACTATTTAAATGAGAATAGCAGGATGGAGGCAGCATCTATCATTCCCGGGAATTTCGAAAGCGGCCATATTTTCTCCAAATGTGCGTGCCCCAGCGCAAACACAACACATCCCATAACTTACTTCTGTGCCGGGGCACCGACCGGAGCTCCCCAAGGCTCCGCTTCGGACCTCTGCTTTCGACCGAATTCCTCGCCAATAAATTCGCCCATTCGGCTCAATTACTCCCGTCCAATTACCAGCCCAACACTTATTTCCGGAAGGGTAGAGCGTCTCGTCAATTTGAAAACCAATAAGGCGGCCTTGCCGACTTATTATAAATCAATCGGACCAATTAGTTCCATCCAATAGATTGCAATCGAATTAAAATGAGTACGACAAGAAAATCAGGTATTTATCGACGATGTAATCGCGAGATTGCTTCCACTAATAAACGCGACGTATACGCACAAGCAAAATCGCACTTTAACAACAAGAAAACTAATAACTCCTTAAAAAGGCAACCGCGACGAGTCAATCGTCTTCACTTTCCCTTGCCTAAAACAATTCCTCCGAGACCACGATACACGCGTGCCATTTTCACTCGTAGAAAACTCTTGTTAAATTCATAACTTCCTTTTCGATTAAAGCGTGACCTTATATGACAATATTGTCAAAAACGAGCTCGGTTTTAAATCATCTGCTTCGTTCCAGGTCCAGATTACCATCTTGGACAAGAACGACAGCCCTCCCTCCTTCAAGGACACCCCTTTGCACTTCTCCATCTCCGAGGACCTGGGTCCCGGTCAGTCCGTGGCGACGGTGAAAGCCGACGATCCCGACACCATTGGCGAGCTGGAGTACACTTTGATCAAAGGCGACGACGGGCACTTCCTCCTCGACAAGACCTCGGGAGTCCTCAGCTTGATCGACTCCCTCGACCGGGAAACCAAAGACGTGTACAAGCTGACGGTGAGGGCCAGCGACGGAAACCAGCACACCGACACCGTCCTGACAGTGCAGGTGAGTGTCCCATCGTCTTGAACATGTGGAAAAATCAATTTGGTCGGTGTTATGGACAATGGAAACGCCGTTAAGGCGATTATACGCGGTTGTTGCACTGTTTGAGTCTGGTTAAAGAGGTTTTTAATTGCTCGTAAATAAATCTATACGGCGGACTAAGTGATTAATTAGTTCTTTTATATACGATTATTGAGCGTTCGACCCAATTTTACCAGGTGATTAAATTTGAGATGAGTGGGATTTTACGAGCTCGTCGCTGGACTTTCTAATGGATAAGAACGAAGGGTTTGGGAGAAGTGATTTGTTGTGTTGTAGGAAAGTTGCCTTTGACTGTGCAATTATTTCCGAACGACACGGTAATTAAAAGTCGTTGACAGGGGAAAAATATGATGCATAGGCTTGACAAAATGAGTTAGAAGCAATTAGTGATTTTTGCGTTGGGAGCTGCACTATGCAGGCTGAGGGATAGTCTAATTAAGTCGTGGCGTTTTAAGGGATTGGTGAATGCCTTTTTTGATCTTTGACATGGCATAAATCAGCCAGACTAGACTCGCGGTAATAATTATAATAGTTGTAATGATATTCGTTTCTAATTACAATTAAAATGTAAATTAATCGGAATGATTGAATTAAACAATCAAATAATAAATGTAAATTGATGCCGTGATAAACTCAGTCTATAAATAATAACAGGCTATATACATACAATAGAGAAATTGTGTCACAAATGTGCAGGCGACTATTGTAGTGTTAAAGAGAAGATTAAGAGCCTTTGACTGCATTAAATTATTATTGAAAGTAATCTTGATTTACTTTCTATAAACCCTTGTTAGCGTCCGACTTGAGGTAAGATAGATTGCTTCAAACGCACGATCAGAGAGTTAGGATGCAAAATGGGCAGATTTTATTGATGGGAATTTAGTATTATCTTAGGTTCATGGGAATATCAATTATTGTTAGTGACCTTCCTTTTTCAAAAATAAATATTTTATTGCTTATTTATAATTTTACTTTTGTTTGTCGTAACTTGCATTAGCTTGTATATGTCTCTGACTGCTTAATTAACATAAACACGATATTGTTACGACAATCCCTCTGCACGAGGAAGCAATCAAAGTACCCGTAATTACTAAAATCGAGAGTGTTCTGGCGATCTATATCTTGAGAAATGGAATCATTGCAGAAACTATAAATGTGTAAACAGAATTCCAGGTCAATAAAAAGTCTGGCCTAATTGCAAATGTGAAATTAGATGAATAGAAAAAGAACTCTGACTAGAAAAATTTTGAAAACAGTTCTGTTAGGGTACGACAAAAAGTAGATATAGTGAGTTCGGGAAGATTCCAAAAGATTCCTGTTCGAAAGGGACCGGTTAAAGGTTGAATTGTAGAAAGAAGATCAATGACAAAATTTTGTGCAACTCGGGGTACCTACTACAGCCATCAAGGTAGAAAGTTTCCTTGAAAACTCCTAGAAGACTAGGTTGATGAAGAATGAAGTAGAAAGACTAAAAGATAAAATATAAATAGAAAGAAGGGAAAATATTGGAATATAAACACTTTGATATGAAATATTAGTCAGGGTACTACAAGGAGAAGAAAACTTTCTACAAAAAGTAGGGTTCAGATTGAAGAGAGAAATCATAAATCTTTAATTCGAGGAAATTCCAAAAGGTTGCTGTTCGGAAACTACCGATAAAAAATTAAATTGAAGAAAGAAGATAATTGATAAAATTTTGTGCAAGTCGAGGTACCACAGCTATCAAGGTGTGAAAGTTTCCATGAAAACTACTAAAAGAACCATTTTGGTAAGAAATTTTTCTTAGAAATTTCACTCGTGAATCTTAAGAAAAATCATTCAACGAAGAATGAAGCAAAGAGATTAAGCCGTAAAATATAAATAGAAGAAGGGAAAAATATTGAAATAAAAATACTTTGAAATAAAATGTTACACCTGATGAAGACTCTGCCGAAATGAATTAGAAGGATTGAAGAATAACTGAAATCAGAAAAAGTTTGAAGAAACTTAGGTCAGGGTACTACAAGAAGAAGAAAAGTTTCTACAAAATGTAGTGTTCAGATTGAAGAGAGAAATCAAAAATCTTGATAAATTTTGTGCAAGTCGAGGTACCATAGCTATCAAAGTAGGGAAGTTTCCATGAAAACTACAACAAAAATCCCTTTGGTAAGAAATTATTCTAAGAAATTTCACTCGTGGGTGTCAACAAAAATTATTTGACGAAGAATGAAGCAGAAAGATTAAGCCATAAAATATAAATAGAAAGAAGAGGAAAATATTGGAATAAAAACAATTTGAAATAAAATGTTACACATGATGAACACACTACCGAAATGAATTAGAAGGACTGAAGAACAACTGAGACCAGAGAAAGTTTGAAAAAAGTTCGGTCAGGGTACTATAAAGAGAAAAAAAGTTCTAAAAAATGTTGGGTTCAGATTGAAGAGAGATATCAGAAATCGTTCATTCGAAGAGATTCCAAAAGGTTCCCGTCCGGAAGCTACCAATAAAAGGTTGAATTGAAGAAAGAAGATAACTGACAAAATTTTGTGAAAATCGTCGTACCATGGTAATCAGTACATGAAAGTTTCCTTGAAAACTTCTAGAAGAAACCCTTTTGTAAGAATGTACTCTAGGAATTTTCACTCGTGAGTGTGAAGAAAAATCAATTAATGAAAACTGAAGCAGAGAATCTAAGACATAAAATATAAATAAAAAGAAGAGAAAAATATTAGAACAAAAAATTTTGAAATGAAATGTTACACATGATGTACACAGTACTGAAATGAATTTGAAGGATTGAAGAACAACTGAGACCAGAGCAAGTTTGAAAAAAGTTCGGTTAGGGTACTATAAAAAGAAAAGTTTCTACAAAAAGTATAGGGTTCAGATTGAAGAGAGAAATCAGAAATCGTTAATTCGAGGAGATTCCAAAAGGTTCTTGTTCGGAAGCTACCGATAAAAGGTTGAATTGAAGAAAGAAGATACCTGACAAAATTTTGTGAAAATCGGGGTACCATGGTAATCAAAACATGAAAATTTCCTTGGAAACTTCTAGAAGGATCCCTTTTGTAAAACGTTATTCTAGGAATTTTCACTCGTAAGTGTGAAGAAAAATCAGTAAATGAAGAACGAAGCAGCGAAACTGAGACATAAAATATAAATAAAAAGGTGAGAAAAATATTGGAATAAAAAATTTTGGAATGAATTGTTACACATGATGGACACAGTACTGAAATGAATTAGAAGGATTGAAGAACAACTGAGACCAGAGAAAGTTTGAAAAAAGTTCGGTTAGGGTACTATAAAAAGAAAAGTTTCTACAAAAAGTATAGGGTTCAGATTGAAGAGAAAAATCAGAAATCGTTAATTCGAGGAGATTCCAAAAGGTTCTTGTTCGGAAGCTACCGATAAAAGGTTGAATTGAAGAAAGAAGATACCTGACAAAATTTTGTGAAAATCGGGGTAACATGGTAATCAAAACATGAAAATTTCCTTGAAAACTTCTAGAAGGATTCCTTTTGTAAAAAGTTATTCTAGGATTTTTCACTCGTAAGTGTGAAGAAAAATCAGTTAATGAAGAACGAAGCAGAGAAACTAAGACATAAAATATAAATAAAAAGAAGAGAAAAATATTGGAATAAAAAATTTTGAAATGAATTGTTACACATGATGGACACAGTACTGAAATGAATTTGAAGGATTGAAGAACAACTGAGACCAGAGCAAGTTTGAAAAAAGTTCTGTTAGGGTACTATAAAAAGAAAAGTTTCTACAAAAAGTATAGGGCTCAGATTGAAGAGAGAAATCAGAAATCGTTAATTCGAGGAGATTCCAAAAGGTTCCTGTTCGGAAGCTACCAATAAAAGGTTGAATTGAAGAAAGAAGTTAACTGACAAAATTTTGAGAAAATCGTCGTACCATGGTAATCAATACATGAAAGTTTCCATGAAAACTTTTAGAAGGAACCCTTTTGTAAGAATTTACTCTAGGAATTTTCACTCGTGAGTGTAAGAAAAATCAATTAATGAAGAATGAAGCAGAGAGACTAAGACATAAAATGTAAATAAAAAGAAGAGAAAAATATTAGAACAAAAAATTTTGAAATGAAATGTTACACATGATGGACACACTACCGAAATAAATTAGAAGCATTGAAGAACAACTGAGACCAGAGAAAGTTTGAAAAAGTTCGGTCAGGGTACCATAAGAAGAAGAAAAGTTTCTACAAAATGTAGGGTTCAGATTGAAAAGAGAAATCAGAAATCGTTAATTTGAGGATTCCGAAAGGTTCCTGTCCGGAAGCTACCAACAAAAGGTTGAATTGAAGAAAGAAAATAACTGACAAAAACATGAAAGTTTCCTTGAAAACTTCTAGAAGGATCCCTTTTGTAAAGAGTCATTCTAGGAATTTTCACTTGTGAGTGTGAAAAAAATCAGTTAATGAAGAATGACGCAAAGAAACTAAGGCATAAAATATAAATAAAAAGAAGAGAAAAATATTGGAATACAAAATTTTGAAATCGGAAATGAATTAGAAGGATTGAAGAACAACTGAGACCAGATATAAGCCTGAAAAAAAATTGTCAAGGTACTAGTAGAAGTAGAAAAGTTTCTACATAATAAATGGTTCAGAACGGAAAGATAAATTAGATATAGTTATTTCGAGAAACTATACCGATACAGAGTTAAAATGAAGAAAGAAAATAATAAGGAAGTTAGAAACGATGGTGTAAAGAATGGGAGACGAATGACGAACTAGGTAAGTCAAAGAAATAATTAAATGGAAAAATGGACGGAAGCTCTACGAAAACAATTAATGAAAAGATAGAAACTTTAATGAAGCAGAGAGACCAAGACATAAAGTATAAATAAATAAAATCTTCGATGATGTTTTGGAAAATTCTAGTCAAGAAATATATTGTTAAGTATTCGTCATAAAATTGGGGACTTAGAAGTTACTCTGCAAGATAATCTTGACTATGTTAATAATTTTGGAAAAGCAGACAATAAAACATCCAAAACCGGAAATGACATTTAACAAAAATTGAAAGCAAGAACAATTAATGAAATTTGAATTTTATAGTGAGGATTAGTCTGAAAGAGAGAAATCAGGTGGTGACCAATCGAGAAAGTTCTGGAATACGTATATCATTTGGAAAAAAAACAGCATCTTAACTCTCTATTTTTGACAGATTTATAAAGCATTTACGTGAAGACAGCATTGTTGAGTGATGAGTCAGTAGTTAGAACGGGATTGTAAGAAAAGTATGAAAAAGCTTCCAACCTGACCTAAAACCAGACTTGTATATGATACCTGAGCAATAAAGATTTTGTTAAATCAAGAATTTCTAGTGGTTGCATCATAACGTTCGACAAAATTAGTAAAAAATGAGAATATTGTTACGATTTCAAAACCCATTGCCACTTAAAATAAGTAACAAACTTGAAAGTTGTGAATTAGAAAAAAAAAGAAAGAAACATGGTATAAATAAAGGTACTCATATTTAATGATACGAGTAAGCGTTATGTCAAAACTAGATATTTGTCGGTAATTGTTTTATAAACAGATGGTTTTGCTTCTGGAAATGAGTACTGAGGTCCTTCCCAACGAAGCTTGGGCGCAGCTAATGACAGATAATTATAATACTGTAAATACAGATGTGCCAATATTGCTAAAAGGAAACGCAAAATAAAACCAAGACAAAAAGCACATGCAACCAGTGCAAAATCGTTTCGTTCTCGACCAAATCAAAATCTCGTGGCGCATTTTTTCTTTAAAATTCCTCAGGTAGAATCGATGTCTCCTACAAATCCCCCCATTCCGTGCCTCGTTCCCGGAAAATCCTGCGCCTCTTCCTGCCATCTGTCCGTCCGGATTCCTCGCATTTTTTCTTCGGCCGCCATTAATCGCGTCAGTATAGAATAATCGAGCAGTGCCATCGACAATTACAGTTCGTTGCTCCCTCGCAGTTAGTATGAAATCTGTCGGATCTGCATCTGCGGTGGCAACTATGATAAACTGCAGCCACGGTAACTGCATAATGGTGGAGAACGCCTCCTTCGCCCAAAACGAGTTCCGCATTTCAGCCTCAATTCATGCACACGCGTGATCTGTTTCAGATCACAGATACCAACGACAACCCCCCGGCGTTCTTGGAGAGCGCCTACTCCTTCGACATCCCGGAGAACGCGCCGAGGGGCTCCAGAGTGGGCCAAGTCAAGGCCACCGATCCGGACCTGGGGATTAACGCTCATCTCACCTACACGGTCATCAGCGACTGGGCCAACGACGTCTTCTCCCTCAACCCCCAGACGGGGGTGTTCACACTCACGTCGCGCCTGGACTACGAAGAGGTGAGTCACTCGATCGCAGATTAAAATACGGAGTCCCTCAGGGATCCGTCCTCGTTTACCGTCATTGCTTTTCAAATTCCGTACAAATGATCAGCTTACTTGCTTTGTTCATTGCAATAGATTCGCACAGGTGTTGTATCTAAATATTTTCCACTGTACAGGTGGTCCGTTTATAAGTTATTGTTGTTGAAACGTTATATATATTTTTGCATATTTGTTTTATTTACGACGACAAAGAAAGAAGATGATGGACGGCATGAGATGAGTTACTAAAAACAGTAATCTTTTGCCATCATGCCGTTGGTGCGCTCTGTTTATTCGAGGCAACTTGTTTTCCGAACGTCCGACGAACAAATCGACGCGCCATATTTTTCTGAATTTAATGGCGGGTCTTAGAATAAATCGTCGAAAATGGTACCCATCGAGGTGTTTTTTGTTGCTATTAAAAGTGACGGGTTTATGTAATGTTCCGCTTATAAATATTGTTAAATAATAATGGTCGCGGTCGCGATAAGCAGTTAATTATAGTTATCGATAAATCATTTCGAGGCGCGTTGCGAAAGTGCAACCTGAACACAATTTTTTTTTCACAAATAAATATTCATAAAGAACCCAATCTCTCAAATAGTCAAATGTCCATCAACCGGCATTGTTGGTAAGAGCAGCGACCGAAACCGCATCCGTAAATCTCATTTCGCTGTCAAAAGCCACTAAAAATAGTCACTTTCTAAAACGATATAAACAAACCGTGAACTTGACTCCGGCGCTTTTTGCCGGGCTTGCGGTTGAAATAAAGCGGCCATCACACGCCTTACCACGGTTCGCGAGATTATAAATTTCGCATAATATTTTATCGCAATTACAATGTTGTGTGTTTATTAAAGTTTGTTCTGAGTTCTGAATTGAGCGCAAGGCATTTTAAGAATGACGAAGAATACTCGACAATAAGGATGTTTTCTCCAAGGAACTACAAGATTATGAGGAGGTAATTGTGTAACAAGTGTAACAAACAACACAACACAAGATAATAGAAAGTACACTTTCTGAATGCGTTTAAGAAAGTGGAGCAGTTTTTAATAGCTGGGTACAACACACGAATTTTTAAAAATGGAATTCTAAAGCGGGCAGTGTTAAAGTATTATAAATCATACTAAATACTAATATTTTTTCTTTTTGTTTTTTCGGAAACGCTATTCTTGCAATGACGTCGTTCTTGAACAAGCGAGATCAGTCCATGTTAAAACACTTCATGTCAAAACCGGTCGTGTCAAGTCAGGTCGTGTCAAGTCACGTTATGTCAAGTCAGGTTATGTCAAGTCCGGTCATGTCAAGTCAGGCTATCTTCATCAGGCACTGCCAGCTTAGGTGAGGTCAGATTAAGTCGGACAAATACGATGCCCTTACCATGTAAAGAGAATTCGAAAAAAAGTCTTTGGTATTTAATTTAAATTTTTAATTTAATTTTAATTTGGTCCTTTCGTTAGAAGTCTTTATTATATAGGTCGCCCGTTTCCGTCTGTCTGTCTGTCTGTCTGCCATCTGTCCGGATTTTTATTAGACAGATAATCTCCGAAACTACTGAACCAGAATTTGGCTATTCATCCCTATCTACAATTTGTTGATGTCATCTCCAAATTTACATTAGTAAATATTTAAATTTTATAAAATAAGATACTCCTGCACATGTGGTTTATGAACCCCTGTTGAATTTTTATCCGAGACATCCAAATTTTTGGAGAAAAAAAATCAAAATTACAACATCTTCCAATTTAATTTGAACTGCTCTGAAATTTCGGAAACGATTTAGGCTATCGCAAGCATGGTAAATCGTTAATCAAATTTACCAAATATAATTTTTGGTGATTCCAAAAGCACTATTTATTATTTCAAATCCAGTTCTCATCTGAATGACTCGGGTTTAAGGATTGGATTACCGGACGTTTTAGATCAAATTTCTAAACTGAAACTAGTAGAAAGTAATTTTTTATCTATTTAAACTTTTTTACCAGTTTTTTCATCTATTTGAAGGTACTTTATCTTGTTTTTAACCAAACAGACCGATTTTGACGTTGAAGATTTTTATTGACTCTTTATAATATAAAAAAAGTCAATTTTTGTCGTGAAGTTTTGTTAATGAATTTTTTTTAACATTTGACCCCATTTTTAAGGCTATTCTTTTTTAAAGTTGATTCGGACGGATCCATATAGAAATCACCGACTTTGAAATGTTTATAAAAAAATAAAAAAAATCAGTTCAACGTCAAAATTGGCCTTATAATAAATTAAAAAACAAAATGTGGGGTGAATCGAACCATTTTACTTACTACTAATTTGTCCCTTTTTTGATGTTATATATTTAATTTTATAGGATTGCATACTCCTAGTATGTGTGATTCATGAATCCGTGTCGAGTTGTCACCCTAGACATCCAGATTTTTGGGGAAAAAATCAAAACTGTGTAACATTTTACAACTTAAGTTTGAAATTATAAAACCGAATGCTTTAAAAACACGAGTTTAAGATTATCGTAAACATGGTAAATCGTAAATCAAATTTTTTTCGTTTATGGCCTCCTAAAAAATGATGACGTTATTTTATACTCCTAATTTGGTAGAACAAGTGTTTCTTAAATTTTCTAGAACTACATACTTCATGTATGTGTAATTTAAAATCCGTGTTGAGTTTTTGCTCTAGACATCGAGATTTTTGAGAAAAAATTCAAAATTATATTTTACAATTTAACTTGAAAATTGCAAAAGCGAATATACTGAAATATTGCAAACGTTTTAAGGTTATAGAAAACATGATAAATCGTTAATCAAAATTTGTTCGTTTAAGGCCTTCCCCAAAAATTGTAACGTCATCTTGGCATCCAGATTTAAAAAAAAAATCGTCATTGTCTAACAATATTTTACAATGTAACTTTTGAAGGTAAGCAAAGACAAATGTGCTGCCCCGGTGGAAATCGAACCACACGTCTCCCGCTTGCCTGGCAAAAATTCAACAGACGTTTATTCAAGTTATGGATTTTTACAATTATTAACAAAGTTATAGCACTAGACTATACTATTAGCTAATAATTTTACATATTTGGTGAATTGGCGCATGAAAGCACTTCATTTGTTTAATTGATACGTGTATATCTGGTTGCCTAACTATTTGTACATTAAGAAATTCGGATTTTAAGGAAAAGTTTTCTGCGAAAAAACCCTAATTTGTGCGGCCGGGCAGGTGCCTTGACCACTAGACTACAGAGCAGCTTATCTTTCTTCGCTTACCAACGTGTTGTTGTACCGCCACGTTAGTCCAAGGACCAGTTTATAGAGGTGTTCAGCGACATCTGATTGGCGTAGAGTCGGTCACGTGGTACTTTAATGCAACGGTTTAATAACAATCAAATATTTCCTTGAGCTTTCGTAAATCGGCTTTTAGACCTTTTATACAGCCTGTTATTGAAAGGTACGTACAAAATAAAATCGGCAATTGGTCTCGAAGTATGGGTGCTAAAAGTTAAAAAAAGTTCAGGTAAAAGTGTTCTCCTTTAAGAGATAAAAATTATTAAAATTTATGTCCAAATTCGTTGTACGCCTCTGATAAAAAGATCATCTTTCGTTTCTATAGCAACATTTAGTCTTGACAAAAGTTTTATTGTTACAGTTGCTAGGATTTACTAAAATACATTAATTTTACCTATTTATCCTTCAGTAGCGTCTAAAAAGATTGGATAAGGGTTAATTTTCCCCTTAAAATTTTGATAAGACAAAATAAGTTTTTCCGACTTCTTAGACTTCGCGAAGAACTGTCCATTTTGTTGTACGTACCTTTCAATAACACCCTGTATTTATGATAATTAATGAGATATCGAGGAGCGCGCGATTAGTAACTCACCTTGTATATTCTTTATCTGTCAGTTTCGAAACAGTTCTGCATTTCCAGGGCTTCTAATGAAAAAACGACATTAAAATGAAATTGACAAATTAAATTAAATACTCTATTCTTATAAAAGCGTCGTCTGTGCCTGGCTTGACCTGACTTGATATGACCTGATTTAGCATGACCCCGGCTTAACATGACATGGACTTGATATGATATGACTTAATACTACCTGACTTAACACGACCTGACTTGATACATGAGCTGGATTTTATATGACCTGACTTGACACAATCTGACTTAACATGACTTAACCTAACTTGATCTGGGCTGACTTATTCAAAACGTCATCATCGCAAGAATAGCCACTTTGCTTATTTCCGGCGATTTACAACACTAAAGAATCTCTTGACGTCATTGTTTTTGGGACAGGATGAATAATAAAATAACTTGGGAGACTATACATTAAAAAATCTTCGGAAATTACGGAAAAATGGAAATCTGCAGTCTTGTTTTCTACGACTTCTACAGTGCAAACAAACAAAAATGAAATTTTCTTTCCATCTGGCATTAATATCTCTACTGAGGACGGAAAGTTCATGTAACTGCTTGTATTCTAAGAACTACAATTGTAAAATTGTGAAGACTGACGTGTGAACCCAATACGGAAACTTATTAAAGTTACATCGCATTTATAATGATACAATTCTGCAAGCATTATTAAATCTTTAAGATGCGTGTAAACTGGTCGCGCTTCAGAAGCGAAGAAAATTAAGTGTAAATAACTACTTTATTTTCATTTGGGTTGTCTCAGATAAAAGTTAATCGTATTCTCGTTGCAAAAAAAACGTGCAACTCTGTACGTTTGTCAATTAGGTGGTAGTCTGATAGTTTTGGTATACATCCCCAATCGGTCGAGTGTTGTTGTGACGTCACGAGCCAATCGTGAGTGAATTTAAGCTGCTGAAAAGCACAAATACTATAGAAAGTTGCGGTTTCATTGTGGTTTACGATTTACATTAATATTTAAAAAAAGATGAAATTAAATCTGCTTTTAGAGTTTTCAACATATATGAATAAATAATGCTTTAAGCTGGACAAATCTTGTTTGGTATTTAAAAAATGTT